AAAAATGCCACCTGTAAAAAAAAAATACCATCTCATCAAGATAAGTTACGTGGGTTTTCCACGTAATTATTGTTATTTTTTTAAATGTGATTTTGTGGCAAGATAACGTGCCACCTGTCATTTAACTGACGGAAGGACCATTTTGGTACAAAAATGAAAATTCAAGGATAATTTTGGTACTTTTTAAAGATAAGGGACAATTTTGGTACCAAAGTGGATAGTTGAGGGACCAAAATGGTACTTAAACCTCGATGTCACATGTAAGTAATTGTCGTTTTAATTCTTTTTATTTGGTAAAACACATGAATTATTATGAATATATTCAATTATTTAATATTGTATAACTATTGTGAGAAGTGAGTTTAATATGTTACAATTTAATATAGTTCAAATAGTAAAACTATGATAAAATTTTTTTGTTTTTATGAAATGAAATTATGGTTAGGTCTGCCTGTAAAAAATAAGTGATTGCAAATAGAATGAGAGCAATAATATGCTCCAAAGTGATGATAAAGAAATAAGCAAAAAATATGCCAACCCGAAATTAAATACACACAACAAGTGAAATGGAATTACTCTTTTGGTGTGCCTAATCTCAATGTGGACCCTTAAATTTTTCTTTCTTTCTTTTCAGAACCCTAATCAAATTTAGGATTATATATTTCATATCCTAGCCAAAAGAATCTTCAAAAGAATTTGAAGCAGAATAAGATTGGTAAGTTGGAACAACTCCGAGGTAAATATTACTTATAAATGACTACATCTTATGTTGAAATTTTAAATTTTAGGTTTTGGAGTTAAAATTTAAGGGATTTTCTTTTTTTTTGGATGCTATGTGGGAATACTTCTTAAGATCATTATAGAGAGAATAATTTTTAGACACACATAAGTTGAACCTAAGACATCTTTACCATGCAAAAAAATAAAGTTAGAACAAATTAAAAAGTTACTCTCAATTTTTTTAAAATATATATTAGGTTATATAATCAAAACCAACCTTCTCTCACTCCTTAATATACTTCATTAATATATCATGTGATTTGTGTTTAGAATCTTAAATTATTTAGATCTTTTACAAGTTACTTTCAATCCAAATTAACTATAAACAATATGACCTTGACATGAAAGAAACATTAATAAATCAGGCATACACATGAATTTGTTAATGACATGCTTGTAACTTTCGAAGTGAACTGACAAATTTTTTTTAGACGGTTCAAATCAAGAAAAGCAATCTTTTTAAGTTAGAATTGAATGGGAAAGAGATAAAATATAAAATATTATTTTTTAATAAAAATGGCCACTTTCAAAATCAACTGAGGTGGGGAGGGGGGGGGTGAGGGTGGGTGACCAACCTTAAAAGATTCTCCAATTTGAGCTCATTTTATTTTACTAGAAAATGTTTCTAGAAGCTATATAAAAGGTTAAATATATGACGAAAGCAATTTTCCTAACCAAAAATTAAGATTGGCCGGCTGACATAACAATGCTTCTGGAATATTGTTGGATGGGATAGGCACAGGTTGGTTGAATTTTGAAAACGACTTGCAGCAATTCATTTCAATGCAAGTTGCTTATTGTTAATTATTTTCTTTCCCATTTAATTAATATCGTTAGTTGGTAGGATATTATACTCGACGCATGAATGATTATGGTGAAATTGGTGATCTAGAAGCCTAATTTTCTTTATAAGATAGATAATATCTCTGTTCTTTTTTCAACCACTTGACGTTTAGTTTTGGTTTTTAATTTTAATGTGGAATTTTTTTATCAGTATTGGAAGATATATATACATTTATTGTTTAAGGTAAAATTTTTTGATAGAAAGTAATGAAATTTATTGACAGGAAGCGAAGAGTTGCATCAGACGCTAAACTTATATATTAATCAAGCTTGGCATATATTTTTAGTGATGGATGATTTTACTTATGACAAACATAAAAAATTAAATGTAAAAAAGTCATTAATTATTACAAAATTTCTTAGAACAACCACTATAATTAAGGGATAAAATAGATTTGAGACAACCACTCTATTATGTGTTCGAAGTAGTATTTATATGAGAAATCCAATTGATACTTTAATTTTTGAGGTAAAAATATTAGATAATAAGTTAGGACCATACTTTTATTTATATTCTCAACAACTAAAGTAGTTGTTATATCTAGTCAAGATAAGTCATCCACGTGATAATTAAAAAAAAGGAAAAAGTCAAGCCACGCGATCATCCGTACCGATGCTACCTTCCTTCTTACCGTCTTTATCAAAAGCAAAACTCAATAAAAATCACGAAGAAAACTTGGACAGAAATTCTTAAAAAAAAGTAACAAATTCTCAATAGAAAAAAATCTTTAAAGAGGGGCAAAATTTAAAGTAAAATTTTAAATAGTAGAGAATTTGTTACTTGAGCCCTGCGTGATGTATTGTGTTGTAAATATGAGAAATGGATCAAGATAATGAAAAAATTAGCTAAATCAACGGGTCAATCGAAAACAATTTTTCATAACCACCCACCCAAAAAAAAAAGCCATAATGAATATTACATTCGTTGCCTACAAAACACATCTAAGTATATTTGCTTTTGGTACATTTGATAAGGGTAAGTTATTCAACAAAAAATAATTCTCTCATTTCTTAGATTTTATATTATTTATTTTAAAATTTAAATTTAAAATTATTAATGTGAAGCATTAAACTCTTATGAGTTTTTTTTTTTTTTTAAACAAGGCAATTACATTACAATTGCATACTTAAAGGATGGTGAATTAAGGTTAGTGGCCAAACTTAAAATCAGGACCAAAATATCACCACTAAATCCTTACCACTGGGCCACACGATCATGGTTGGCAAACTTTTATGAGTTGAGATACTTTTTTTTAAGGCATTATCTAAGTGAATTCGTAGTAATTAATTGTAAAATAATTTTTAAGAATCTAAATTTAAGATTATTTTATATAGTTTTGACTATATCAAATTGTAAAAAATTAATCCTTAAATGGAAGAGGCTCTTAAAGGTGGAGTCTTCCTCCAATTGAATTGCAAAAAATAAAACTTATCTAAATTACAAATAAAATTAATTTTACCAAAATGAAAATTTATTTTTATTAAAATTATAGAATCTAATAAATTAGAAAGTAATATTCTAATATAATATTTTTGATGGGGGAGTGTTGATATCAATATGGGAGGTGGGGGAGTAAGTTACAACCAGCCTCCTGAAATAGACCAGAGTAAGTGGTGGAGTAAGTTAGGTTGGCCTTCTAGAACCCTTTTTGAAAACATAAATTATTTTATTAACCAAAAAGGAAGAGTGGAAAATAGGAGGACCAAAACAGAGAACATAACTTTTTCTAGACAATACTTCAGAAGATAAGAAAGAAGTTGGCATTATTAGTGTAGAAAACTGTGTTTGGTTTGGTGGTTATGGGACCTTTACTGCTAAATGAAAATATCTACACCACTTTTTTCACCTCAGGTACCTGTATTTTTCAAAAGTCATAAAAAAATGCCCCCGAAGTATAGCATTAACCACAATGTGGGATTCTCAAGGAAATGTTGATATTAAATGTTAAGGGACCTCAAAATCTATATGTTTTTAACTTGATATTTGATAAGTCAACCATGTGAGGCCACATGCACATGCAGCATGTTCCACCTATCATATAATAATAATAATAATAATAATAATAATAATAATAAAGATGGAATTAAGGATTAAGGGTAACAATGTTGGAAGTCACCCCCAAACTATGGTAAAAAAATTTTCATTTTTTTTGTAAATAATATATTGTAATTTTTTAAAATAATTATATAAATTAGGATGGAATTAAAGGATCAAAGGTTGGGGGTCACCCCAAAATACGCTATAAATGTTTCAGTTTTTTTTTTCTAAAACATATATTATAATTTTCAATATATTATTTAGTTGTATCTATAAAATTTTATATTTTAATTTTTGCACATACTGCCCCCCCACCTTGGAATAACATTTTTTTTTTTTCTAATTCCGGCAACATTGCAATTGATTTTATGAGAATTTCAAGTTTGATCCTGCCAATTAAGAGCAGGCTTGTTACAAGATAAAAGCATTGGTTGAGAAAATGGGAAAGACGAGATACTGAAAAGGGGAAAAAAAGAAGAAGCTAAAGATAAATGCTACTTTTAGCCTGAATTGGCAATAAAAATGTTAATGTAGACTGCAAATGATTATTAGTCCTTTCTAATTACTTTTTAAAGCTTTTAAAATTAAAGTGAAAAAGTGTTTTCTAGCATCAATTATATAATAAATTATACAACATAAACTATAAAATGAAAGGGTTATAGTATATATAGATAGATTTTAATTTAACTATTTATGTTTTATAGTACAATTTAGTACAATTTAGTAAATTTTAAATTGTAAAAAATTAATTTTATATTAAAAATAGTAATTATTTTCAATTTCAATGACAAATTTTATTTGCCAATAAAAATAAAAGGAACATTTGTCTAGAAGAAAAATGGAAGGGAGGAAAGAGCAAAATAACTCCAAAGTAGAGCTACCTACCCAATCCAGCACTAACTTAATTGCAGCCACTCGTCTTTCTCACCAACTCGGTCAAATCCTCCTACACCCCACTTCTTTTTTAAAAAACAAAAAGGTAGGGCCACGGCCCCGAGTCAATTGCACCCTGTCCCATCCTCCCAACCTCCCATTTATATTCCCTTTCCCCCTTCATTCTCTTCTTCATTTCTCCATCCCAAATCCCACTACCCCATTCATCTCCCTACCTCCTGATCCTCACCCCTACCGACCTACTCAAAAAAACATGGGCAGATCTCCCTGTTGTGAAAAAGAACACACCAACAAAGGTGCTTGGACCAAGGAGGAAGACGAGCGCCTCATTAATTACATCAAACTTCATGGTGAAGGTTGCTGGAGATCCCTCCCTAAAGCTGCAGGTCTGTGTTTTCTTTTCTTTTACTTTCCAGAAAAATTGGAATTTTTTCTGGATTATTGAAAATAGATTCATTTTTTTGGGGTATAAATATGCAGGTTTGCTTCGATGTGGGAAGAGTTGCAGGCTGAGATGGATAAATTACCTTAGGCCTGATCTCAAGAGAGGAAACTTCACTGAAGAAGAAGATGAACTCATCATCAACCTCCATAGCCTACTCGGAAACAAGTATGTTCATTTATTGATTCATCTATATATTAATTAATTTTTAGTTTTCATTTCTTTTGAAAAAAAAATACATTTTTTATTTTGATATCTCAATTGATTACAAATTAGTACAAAAAGTCGTTTATTTAAATTTAAGAATGAGTACGGAGGAATTAAGGGAGGAGATAACTATTCCTGTTGGATTACCATATCGTTAGATGATTAACAAGAAAATAATTCAAATACATTTTTTTAATTTTGAGAGTCATAAATAACTTATTATGGTTCTTTAATTTGTTTTTATTTTTTCAGATGGTCCTTGATTGCTGCACGTTTACCAGGAAGAACGGACAATGAGATTAAGAATTACTGGAATACTCACATCAAGAGAAAGCTCTACAGCCGTGGAATTGACCCACAGACTCACCGTCCACTCAATTCTACGGCAGTGGCCGCCACTACCACCACTACCACAGCAATAACAGCAGCATCCAACACAAAAAGAAGTACTAGAAACAACATTTGCAGCAAAAACAACGACACTAATTTTCAGTTTGACACGCAAAATTCTATGCCGGCACCGGCGAAGCAGGAGTTCCCCACCAGCATAGACTTCAGTACCGCCAATACTGTAAGGATGGGAGCGGAATCTGCCGAGGATTCAAACAGCAGTAGCGGTGTCACGACGGAAGAAGTGTCTGTGTTTCCTCAGTTTATTAATCTAGAACTTTCCATCGGGCTTCCATCTCAGGTGCCTCAAGTTTCTTCAAAGCAGCAAGTACAAGAACGGCAGACTTTTCAGTTGTTTGGAACTTCCGGTTCTCCAGTCATTACTCCGCTAGACTCCGTGTGCTTGTGTTGCAGTCTAGGGTTTCAAAGAAACCAGGGATGTAACCGGTGCAGTAGCAGTACTGCTGCCGTGGCACCCACCATTGTCACAGCTGACAGTGTCTATAGATATTGTTGATGTTCTCATCACAAGAAAAATCTATGATGAAATGGTTGTACTAAGGATCGATCTCAAAGTAATTAGAACTTTTCAGAAAAAAAATTTTGCCATATAGAACTTTTTGTGTTTAATGGAAATAAAGTTTTTGGGCTTATTTCAAGAATTCATATTATTTGCTCTTCTGATATAAGGAATTGGTAAACAAGTTTGTTTTTACTTATTTATTAAGATTTAATTTTTTTTAAATCTTAATTTTGGTATAAATAGTTTATCTTTGATCAAATTAAAAAAAATTAATTTAAATCAAATTTTAGAAGCATTAGTTTTAAGTTGCACACAAACACAAGATAACATGATCATTAAAAAGGAAATTTCATTCTTTTGTGTTTAATGAAAAACAGCCTCTAAAAATTTACACTCAAAAACATTGCGAGTTTGCTAGAAAAAGTACCGTGGAAACAAATTCTAAATGGTACATAAGCCTATCCCGTAGTCCTCCACTCGTTGCCATGCGCTTTGCATTTGCAGCATATATAACCACACAAGTACCATGCCACTGGTAAGAAAAATTAGAGTATATTTTGTTCAAACATATATATATATATATATTTAACACATTTTTAATTTAATCATTAAAAATGTAATATAAATA